GGGCAGTGCAGGCCCTCTGGCGGCCAGTGCAGGCTCTCTGGCGGCCAGTGCAGGCTCTCTGGCAGCCAGTGCGGGCTCTCAAGCAGTGTTCATTTAGTTGGTGAGTCTAAATTAAAGACTAGTTAATGGGACAAAAACGATTTTCGTCCGGTACCCAATTTTTTTCAACATTCTCCTCCCCGCTGGTGCTGGCTGCAGCGGTCTGTGTTCATTTCAATCCCCGCTGCTCTCTCCACCTGTATCGGCAGACTGTCACTGCATTCCGCCGCTGCTCCCCCTCGTACCTCCGCTGCTGCCCGTTCCTCCTTCTCTGGCCACTTCGTTCTCTTCTCCCCCGTTCCTCCTTCTCTTCTGGCCGTGTCAAGTCTCCAATCAGCACCTGGAAACAATAGCCAGCCTGCTATAGGATATTTTAAATTGCAATAGCAGGCTGGCTATTGAACCCACCCTCTGCCTGCTTTCAATCAGCAGAAGTGGACCTGATGGGGAACTTTCTCCTTCATTTCCCTCCTCTGCTGATTGACAGCAGGCAGTGGGCGGATGCAATAGCCAGCCTGCTATTGCAATTTAAAATAAGCAATAAGAGAGGCTGGCTATTGCTCCCAGCCACTGCATGCTGTCTTGACATTCAGCTTCCTCAGCAGCTGAATCCAGTGAAGGGGAAAGGTGACACTAGGGCCACTAGGACCCCTAATGTCACCTTAAAGAGAACCTGTCACCTCCAATGACGTTTTTTTAAAAATGTAAAAAATAAAAGTTAAATAAAATTAAAAATTACTCCAGGGGTATATAATGAAATGAGTTTGGAAATGCTAGAGAATTGCTTAAATAATGTATTACACTAAAAAAACTATTAGATTTTAGTCGACTAAAACAAAAATTAATCTGATGACTAAAATACGACTAAATTCAAAATACAACCCATGGGTTGCCTCACTAAAGGCACCCTACCTAAACCTCTCCCCCTAACATACGTAGAGTAAAAAAAAAATTGAAAATAAATAGGGTTTCCGGAGAGGTGTAACAGACCACGCATATATGAATAAATATAAAATTGGAAAATGTATTCCAATATATAAATAATTAATTAAAATTGAATTTAATTTCATGATTTGTACATTGCCTTATAGAGAATATATAAGCCCAGTGAATAATTTATGTAAAAGTTCATAAACAGTATACTTATAAAATGCAACTAAAAATAAAAATTAATTTTTGTCAAGACTAAGACAAAAATGAAATTTGGTGCCAAAATTAACACTGCTCTCAAGGGGCCAGCGCAGTCTCTCAAGGGGCCAGTGCGAACTCTGGGCAGTCAGTGCGGTGGTCAGTGTAGGCTTTGGGTGGTCAGTGCGGCCTCTGGCGGTCAATGGGCGGTCAATGCGGCCCCTGGCCAGACGCAGTGCGGCCCCTGGGCAGTCAGTTCTGCCTCTGGCCAGCCGCAGTGCGGCCCCTGGGCCATCAGTGCGGCCTCTGGCTGGTCAGTGCAGAGGTCAGTGCGGCCTCTTGGAGGTCGGTGCAGCCTCTGGGCGGTCATTAATTTAAAAAGTAAAGATCCACACAGTGTGTCTGCCATTGGTAATGCCTCTGATCATATTGTATGATGTTCATATAGGATGATCAGATGCATGGCCAATGGTAGATCTTTACTTTTTAAATGAAAGAGGACAGCAGCTGATGCCCAAGGCTGAATAGGGGCCAGACGCTGGCAAAGGCCACCCACCCACACAGTGTCTCTGAAAAAGGCCCCCCCTCTCCCCCACCTTAGTGTGTGTCTCTGAAAACACCCCCCTCCCTCTGCAGCTGCTTTAAAAAAACTTACCTTAAAAGTCCAACAGTTGTGCTCCTCTCCTGCATGCCTTGCTCCGCGCTTTGAAGAAGAAAAAAAAACCCTTCCTGCACGTACGGGAACGTACCAATTGTTCAGGAGGGGCCCGGGACCGTACCAACTTGCCTGTACATACTAATTTATAGTAAAAAAGGGCTCGGTCGGAGCCCGGGCCCCCCTACCTGTCTGGGCCCCTTACATTAGTGATAGCCGTACTCCCCTGATGGCGGCCCTGGCAATAAGTCACAAACAACTATTGCTGACAGAGGAACTCGATAAATATATTTATTTTATGTAAACTATGGATCCCCTTCATTTACTACAGTATAATTAGATGTCCCAGATGAAAAAGAGGCTTAGATATACCTTCTATAAATTATTTGGAATATTAATTAATAGAAGGAAATGAAATAATTTATAAATTTGAACAATAGTAACTGTATACCTAAAACAGAAAATTCTAAGTCATTTTTCATTAACTTCTTTACAATTAATCTAAACTTTGAAACTATTGCTAAATATTAAAAAAACTATACAGATAGGAATATGCTTCATGCAAATGTTATCAATTTGTTTTCGTTCTACAATGTTAGTCATACTATAATAAAATAAAACAAAAGACATTTCATATCTGCCTGGAGCTCAGCTTTAACAGTCCATGCTACAGTCAATGACATGCCTAAAAATAGAGACGCAGTTCATTAGGGCAATATGCCACATACAGTAGCCCATATTGACCAACAAAATTATATGTTTTAGTGACCTGACTTGCTAATTACCACTACTATACTGAATACATCTTTATATGTTTTAAATTATTTAATTTTTTTCACACCCTTAGAACCACCTAAGATCCATCTTGATTGTTCTGGGGGTGAACATGTCAACACTATCATTGTTGTGGCTGGAAACAAACTTCGCTTTGATGTCCCAATTACTGGAGAGCCTGCACCTACTGTTTCCTGGTTCAAACTAGACAAGGCAAGTCAACAACAATGCCTCAAAGCCCCAAATGGAAAAGCTTTCTCCATTGTTTTAATTTTTTGCCATATGGTGGGGGATACACAGCTTAAAATCAAAAAGCAGGCAAACATCTAAATACACAGTTCACAGACATGCATGTTTACTGCAGGGACATGCAATCAGGGGCGGCAGGTGAGGCAGAGCCTCAACTAGTGTTATGGAGGGAAAATCTGTCAACTTCAAGTCTGACAGCTTTTTCTCCATTAAGAGTGGCTTGTAACAAGTTACACAGCAGGGAAAGCCTCCCCGCTGTGTAACGGATGGAGCGTTGCCTGTTAATTACAGGAAGCGCTGCATCTGGCTTTTGACAGCTAAGTTAAGTTACACAGCAGCGGGCTTTCCCACTGTCTGTGTAACCCAACATAGTGAGGCAAGAGATGCAACAGCCTCTATTCTGTGTAAGAGGCTTGAGCTCTGTGGTTGTTTTGACTAATGGCAAAGCACTACTGGTCCAAGTTGTCCAATCGAAAAAAGAAAAAAACAAAACATTGAGGACATCGATCTCGATGCCTCACCAGTGACGAGCAAGTAAGGGAAAGGAAGGCTTATCCCTCCTTCCTCAACACAGAGTTTGGGCACTGGGTTGGGGGCGGGGCTTCAGTGTGCTGGGGAGGGGCTTCTGCATGCCGGGGCAGGGCATTGACATGCTGGGGCAGGGCTGGGGGAATGCCTCACCTAACACAGAAGGTACCGCACGTCACTGGTTTACTGTTTTCCTTCTCAAATTAATTCAATTTTTGCCAGCCATTTCTTATGATACACACACTCTGCAATCAGTTAGAGTACTCTGATACTTTTTGGTTTAGCATTACTGTTGACTTAATATCTAAATTGGAGTCTGAAAGTGTAAAGGTGACATAGGAAGCTGCCTGCTAAACCAGGAAGATTAATTTAATCACCTGTCTGGTGTAGAAAATGTGTAAATCCCAAGACTGGCTGTACAGATCTACAAATTCTTTGGTAGGTAAAAGCATAAACATATATGTATCTCAAATGTGTATTTAGCTGTTCGTCTGCAAATTCACCTTCTCTTTATATCTTCTGTTTTAAATTTCTCGAACTTAGCCACTCTCTAGTCTTGATAGTATTACTCGCACATCAGTGATAAACCAGTATTGCTAAACCACAAATTACATTTTAGATTTTAAAAAGCTCAGGCCAAACAGTGGCAAAAGTCAGCCTCAAAGCTGCAAATAATAAAAACAACAGGTCTATACTGTGCATCATTTTTAGAGTCAACGTATAGCATAATGTGTCTATCTTTACAGGAATTAAAAGACACTGATGGCAGAGTTCATATAGAACTTAGAACAGAATTAAGCAGTTTAGTGATTGAAAGCGCAGAGCGATCTGATGAAAGCTCATACAATATTGTGGTAACCAATCCAGTTGGTGAAGATAAGGCCACGTTGATTGTTAAAGTTGTTGGTAAGAAGAATATTCTTAACTCTATCTTCATAAAGTGTTGTACACTCTGCCTAATAGTATTTCGACTTGTAACCTGGATTTTTCTCGTCTTTAAGATGTCCCCGATCCACCAGAGAATGTTCGTATCACCTGTGTAGGTGAGGACTGGGCAAGTGTTATTTGGGACCCACCAAAATATGATGGTGGAAAGGAAGTAACAGGTAAGCATAATACTTATTGGTTCCACATATAACATAAGAATGGGAATTTTAAAAAATTCAAGCAAGAAAATTCTGTCATATATATAAAAAAAAAGTGATAAACTTTTTTTGCATCTTTTTTTCTTGGATGAAAAATAATGTTTCTAAAATGTTTTGACCAGGAAGAGGAAATAAAGTCTCTCTCACATAATATTGTGACATATGTACAAGAAACTTTCGCACAGACACAGTACAGTTCCATCAAGCAGTAAGTTTTAGACATGTGCAGTCGTTGTACGAATACATTTTCGCCCGAATTCTCGCATCTAAATCTGAATAATGAAAGAACCAAAAAGCAAATGCATTACCTTTTCGTTTCAGTTTTTCAGTCAACTTTAGGCCTGGTTCACACTGAGCATAGTCACAACGGATTCAGCCTGACCAAAACTTCACCAAAAAAAATTGAATTCCTTCATATGGCTCCTGTGCGGTGTGCAGGGTTTTGTCGCAATAAGCCGGAAAAAGTACAGCTTCTTTTTGTCAGATCTCAGCTCGTTTTGGCCCCATACACTTAATAGGAAACTCTTGAAAATGCTCAATGCAATTAGTTCTGCATGCATGCATGTGTTTTGTCCGTTGACTTCAATGTATCACAATCCAGCCCTAGGATATATTCAGAGGTACTGAACACTATGAGGGGAATTTATCAAAACTGAAGCAGACAAAATCTGGAGCAGTTGCCCAGGGCAACAAATCAGCTTCTTCGTTCAGTTAAGATTTGAAATGAAAGAGAGAAGCTGATTGGTTGCAATACACAGCTGCTCCAGATTTTGTCTGCTCCAGTTTTTATAAATTCCCCTCTTTGTATTTAATTGCACTGGATACTTTTGTTTTTATTTGTCTGGCACTGGTCACTTTGTATCTGGTTCTGCACTAGTCACTTTGCAATCTCTGGCACTTTATGAATTGACCATTTATGGTGTCATGGATATTTTGGTTGGACTTTGCGTAGGAATCTCCGGTGCACTAAAAGGTACACGTTCGGTATTAAAAACATATTAAAAACAAGAAGGGCTTATACCCAGAGTACCAAACGTCCCAATTTTAATTAAACCCTAGAATAGGGTAAATTTACTGACAAGTGACTCTCAGGACAACCCCCAACTGTTTAGCAAGACAGAAAAGAGATTGTGAAATGATCAAGATAGGATCAAATCAAAGTACAGTATTAATGAGGGTCGGAGAGTCAAAATGTAGTACAAAATTGTATACATTTATTGATTAAAATTCTCGGTCATTCTAGACACACCAATTAGCCACCACCTGTTACTATCTTAAAATGGTAATTGCAACAACCCTCACTCACATACCAAAACCATGCACACTAGGACAGACTGATCAGCATAATAAATAGTACCGGTTAAACTCAAATTCATTGAGAAAACAGCGCTGAAGAAATAATAAACAATATGTAGCTCGAATTGAGATGTAATATGACTATTTAGCCTTGGATACTCATTGATTGTGTTTAAATCTTTCCAAAGTTGCTGAAAGGATTGTAATCCCTGAGATGAAATGGTGTAACTATTAATCTGTTACATTTGTAGCCACTGCTCTCGGAATAGGACAGGCAGAGCATGAGACAAATAACTTATTCAGGAACTAATGTTGAATGCACGAACAACATCCTGGTAGATTCAATTAAATGATTTCACCCGGAGTGTTTATCACACATGGAAGAAGGATTCAACCAACAGTGTGTAAAGTCTCGAACAATAGTACTCACGGGTGGGACTATTTGTCTCACAGGGTATGGATTTCTCGACTGCTGGTTGCTTCAGATAGTCCTCTGTAGTGGGATCAATCCTCCTTTATTTGAAAAACTCAGACTGGAGTGATTCCAAAGGCTTTAGTTTTGTTGAAAATGTAGTAATGAAGTCGCGCTTTATAGTAACACGAACCGGGGAGTCTAGTGCCTGACATGCAGGTGGTTAGTCAGCTTGTCCTTGGTCTGCCTGTCCTATTCCGAGAGCAGTGGCTACAAATGTAACTGATTAATAGTTACACCATTTCATCTCAGGGATTACAATCATTTCAGCATCTTTGGAAAGATTTAAACACAATCAATGAGTATCCAAGGCTAAATAGTCATATTACATCTCAATTCGAGCTACATATTGTTTATTATTTCTTCAGCGCTGTTTTCTCAATGAATTTGAGTTTAACCGGTACTATTTATTATGCTGATCAGTCTGTCCTAGTGTGCATGGTTTTGGTATGTGAGTGAGGGTTGTTGCAATAACCATTTTAGTAACAGGTGGTGGCTAATTGGTGTGTCTAGAATGACCGAGAATTTTAATCAATACATTTATACAATTTTGTACTACATTTTGACTCTCCGACTTTGATTTGATCCTATCTTGATCATTTCACAATCTTTTTTCTCCACACATTCGGTATTAAAATGCGCCCAGCACAAACAATCCAGTTGCTGCTAAAAGCACACTGCATTCAGTTCTTTCTGTATAAGGGATGAAGTACTTCTTTGGCACCAGAGAGAGTCAGACACGATGCTGGTTCAAGCTAGAGTCAGTGTAGAAAAGGGCATAACAGACCCCTAGCTCCTTCATTTATTAAGGTCAAAGGACGACGCCCAGTGGGAGACGGCTTTACAACCTCAGCCAGTCAGCCCAAAAAGTACAAGTACATATCAAAAGGAAAAGGGGGATACACCAACATGGCGAACAGCCATGTGGTTGCCCATCCCCCATCATCGTCAGCATGGACCCTATTCAATACTGCTCAGAGTGACCATTATCTAGTAAGATCATTCTACTTGTTCTTATAGGTTTGAGACTATCTGAGGAGACATTGCTAATGCAGTTATCTATATACGATACCAGTATACGGACAAGGCATATATCAATGTCTTCTTATAAAAGTAGATATGTATTCAAAAGGGATAGCGCAGTCCGCAATAGAGGTATACTACGCATCTCGTTATACGGACTTTGCTTCGCTAATGTGTACAAACGTTTGAAGGCAAGGAGCCCAGAGCATTGCACTAGTGCTTACAAACCAGCAAACGCCTCCACACACTGTGAACATGTCTCCAAGCCCATGAGAAGGTTTTCATACTGACGGTTTTACCGCTGGTCCCGATTCAACCCAAGTACCCTCTGCAAGAGCGTTCCTCGGTTAAATCCGACACAGGGAGACCGATGACAATACATAAAACAAACGCATCATAGAATAAAATGTCCACATAATTCCATATAATATTTCCACAACAATATGTTGATGAATTTTGTGTAATATTTATAGTTTCATGAATTTACACAGTGTTGATTATAGATTAATATGAATCAGTAATATTTGATACATTAATGGAGGAAAAATCGGTGATTGTTGAAGGCATGAATTATTGTTGCACCTCATAGTGTTTACTGTGGATACTTTGTATGAATTAGAGTTTTTCCTTTAATTATTGTTTTGCATGACATATTGTTTGTGACTGGAAATGGTGGTGGAAACCACCAAATGAATTAGGTGACACACACATTTGGCAATTGATATTTTGATATTAGTCGGCTCGGCACAATATATATTAGTGATTTTGGTGATACATGTTTCAATTAGAGTAATCACAGCTGCCTAGCATTGGCAATGGGTTAATTATATAGATTTTACAACAAGGTGCAATAGCCAGCCTGCTATTGGCTATTGCAATTTGAATAACAGGCTGGCTATTGCACCCACCCACTGCCTGCTGTCAATCAGCAGAAGAGGGCCTGAAAGAGAAAGTTCTCCTTCAGGTCCTCTTCTCTGCTGATTGACAACAGGCAGTGGGCGGGTGCATTAGCCAGCCTGCTATTGGCTATTGCAATTTGAAATAGCCAATAGCAGGCTGACTATTGATTCCAGCCATTACACAGGAGCGGACCTGCAGGAGAACGTTTACTTATCCCATGCTTGTAAAAGTCTTTCTGAAGCCCTGTGAGGGTGAAGTCTCCCACTGTAGGGAGAGCTAGAGGGTGCCCTTAGTGAAAGACTTAACCACCCCCTACTTGTCAGAGACTCCATGATGTGGGAGAATTAATTAACCCCCACAGCACAGGGAATTAAACTAAACACACTTTGCAAAATCTGCATACTTATTTACTGTATTTAGTTAGCTTCTCTGTGCTGTGGGGGTTTATTAATTCTCCCACAGCATGGAGTGCATACAGTGAGCGCTGTGATCAGCTGTTACTGAAACTCTCAGCTTTGTTACAGTTCTACTCAGGCTGAGAGTTATACTAACTGATCTGATTATTACATCGCTCAGGCCTACAGGAATAAACAAATAATATAACTGATTAGGATTACTAGATACTAGGTAAGAGATGCTACTAATTTTTAAATAGTTTGGGATAAGAGCTGTTAGATTTTATTAGGTGCAAAGATTTTTGTTTTGTCTAGAAATCTCCAGGCTACTACAGCCCAGTGTAGAGGAAGTAAGGATCAACTACTGTATGTGCATTGTTGTCACTGTCCAACAAGTATCTTTGTGGTCTCAGAGATGGGTCGAGCCCTTTTACGAACAAACAGATATCTCCTTACCTGTTGTTTTAGGGTGGATATCTACCTACCCATGATCAGCCTCATATAGATGTTATTTTAGCTATATCATTAACTAAAATGTTACTGAATAAGTACTGCAGCAACCTTTAATACAAAGTGTAAGGGTACATGTTATAACACTATCAAGGTTACTTGTTACTTTTATCTTAATTGGAGTTTATTCTTTTTTTATCTTTAGGCTACCTTATAGAAAGGAAAAAAAAAGGCAGCCAAAGGTGGATGAAGATGAATTTTGAAGTGTACACTGAAACTTCATATCAGTCAACAAAGATGATTGAAGGCATCATGTATGAAATTCGAGTCTTTGCAGTCAATGCCATTGGCATTTCCCAACAGGCTAACACTTCCAAACCATTCATGCCAATCGGTAAGTAATTAAGTGTATTGACTTCAATTAATACTTAACTGAAAAAAAATGAATGGAACAGAAAGTGAATTTGAAGGTTTGTTTAGACTATATTCTGCTGCTAACATTTTTTAACTGTCAGTATTGTTACGGAAAATTATCTGGCAACAGAATAACACAATTAGGTATGAGCAAATGCTCTTGGGTTCAATGCACTTGTTGTTAGTTAAACTCATGATACATTCCAGAAATTGCAATCTTTAATCCAAACCGAATGGTGTGTTTTAAAAATTATTTATTTTCATTTTCAAGGCTAATAGGTAAGGGATTGTCAAACAAAGGGTATGGGGAGCTGGGCCAATGCAAAAAGCTAGGCGAGAGTGTCCTGTTTTTAATCCAACTTCAACGGTGACAAGGGAAAAACACCAATTCCTCAAATGACATGCTTTTAAGATGCTTTTAAGTTGTATGCAGTGGAACATAACAGTGCAATTCTCACAGACAATGCCAGTGACACCATATTCTGGCATCGCATGTATAATATGGTTTGTTTTACTTTTACTTTATTCCTAGGCTTACATACAGCAACAGCCCCCCAATCTAGTTATTTTTAAAAAAAAAAGTATTTTCTAGGTGGCACCTGATATTTTAGCAAGGCCAGAAATGAGCAGTGAATGTAGCAGGCACAACAGATCTAAAGATATAGGGTTTACACTTCTAACGCTAAAACAGAGCTAAAACACAAAATGTCATACTAATTGCTAAAATGTCGACACAGAGTGCAGAAAAACCACTTTAAAACCACAACCCTGCATTTCAGAGAGGAGTTAGTGCATTGTTTCAGGGACAACAGCCATCATATCAGTAGTGGTTTTACTAGGTCACATTCTAAGAGAGATAAGCAGGTTTCATAATGAAATACTATTTAGAGTATATTATTTTCGAGACAAAGGACATACATTATATTATATATTATCTATATATTATATAGATTCCATAGTCGACACTGAAGCAGTTGGCGTATGCTGCATTTTTAAAAGGACACAAAGCATGCAGCTTTTCATCCACAAAAAACATATTTAAGTGTATATATGACAAGAAAATTAAGAAATATTGTACAGATTATACAGACGGCAATGACACAGTTGCAGTAGGCCGCAATTTAAAATGACACAACACATGTGGCTGTTAAGGTTAAATTTGCATAATTCAATGGAATGTATTGAATGGATAATTCCATACAATACGCAATACATTATACAACAATGAAGAATGGCAACTGGCTATAGAGGACTACAAATCCCAGCAATGCATTATACAGCAATAGAGAATCCAAACCGGCTATAGAGGACTACAAATCCCAGCAATACATTATACAGTAATGGAGAATGGCATCCAGTGACAGAGGACTACAAATCCCAGCAATACATATTACATCAATGCAGAGTAATATGAAGCTACATACGCTATGTTGCTCTGTGCTTGCCGTCTCATGTCTCCATGGTCTCAGGAGGGTTGTGCAGGCTTTCAGGAGGTTGTGCAGGCTCTCAGGTGGCCAGTGTGGGCTCTCAGGTGGGCTGTGCGGGCTCACACCAGGGGTCCAGAGAGCTTCACGGGCGCGTGTGGGTGCAGTAGAGGCGGCTCCCTAATTAGCCTCGCAGGTGGCCAATGATGACTGTCAGGTGGTCAGTGGCTCTCTGCTGGTCAGTGCAGGATCTGTGGTGGCCATTGTGGGCTCCCTGATAATTAGTGGGGGCTCCCTGGTGGTTAGTGGAGGCTCCCTGGTGGTTAGTGGAGGCTCCCTGGTGGCCAATGGGGGATCCTTGTTGGTTAGTGGGGCTCCCTGGTGGCCAGTGGAGGCTCCCTGGTAGATAGTGAGGGCTTCCTGTGTAAGGTGACCATTTGTCCCCAATTTACAGTCCCCTGGATTGAGGAGATCATCCACGGACGAATTATGTTCCCCAAAATGTCACCGGGAACATATTTTTTTGGTAAAATATGAAAGACGGGGTCAGGTCGGGTAAATAGATACCAAACATGTCAAGCCTTAAAATTGCATTTGCCCCGTGAAGCCACAAAACATGTTAATACCCAAAATTTCCCATAGAGAACATTTTAAACGATTTTACCGCTCATTAGTTTAGTGTTATCAGTGATTGATGGCTCTAGAATTATTGCTCTCACTCCGACGTTCGTGGCGATATGTAACGTGTACCGTAATTGTCGTTTTCACACGTAGGCTCTCCGACGCGTGTGTATGTGGGGGGCGGGGGACTTAAGGGAGAACTATGGGGTTAGGGCTTTTCCCCATAGTTCTCCGAAGTGTAACGGGAGGACACAAACTAGCGTCCTCGCGTCACCCTAAGCTCAGTATACCGCGAGCTACAGCTCGCGGTATACTGAGACGCCGCAGCTGAAACGGATCCCGACAATTATGTCTGTATCCGCCCAGCTGCCTATCTAGAGGCAGGGCCAGCCCGTCCGTTCTGCCAGTCAGCACTGGACGATCGGAGCGGGGGGAATCCAGTCCCTCCCCTGTCACGGCTCTCTGCCATGACAGGATCGAGAAGTGAGTGAACGCCGGTATGTATTCGCTCACTTCCCGATCTACTGAGCCGACCTGTGACAGTTTCATTGTCACAGGGCGGCTAGAACTATGAGGATGAGTGAAAAGCACTCAACCCATAGTTCTCCTTTAATGGGTTTCTAAAGCCTCCGTTTTTTTGCATATATCTACTCCTAGCAAGCAGTAGATATATGCAAAAAGTTTTTTTTCTTTAAAACGCTTTAACAGCGGTTTAAACTTACCCCGTCTTTGCCGCGCGCTCCCGCCCGAAAATCGGAAACTGCTCGGGTGGCCGCAAAGCATATTGGGGCCGGTGCATGCGCAGTTCGGATTTTCCACGGGGAGACGAGTAGAGAATCAAGGTAAGTCTATGGACGCGTGCACCTGCATGCAGACACCTTGGGACCGGAAATGCCAGCAAGGACAGAGGAGTCAGCGCTGGATCGGAGAGCCACCGCACTGCTGGAGGGACAGATGAAAACATCAGGAAAGAAGAAGAAGATCGGATTAAGAGACATCATTTAAGGTAAGTGCTGACATTAACATTGGGGGGAGGGGAAACATTTTTTGACTTTAATGTCACTTTAAACATTTTTTTTTTCTTTTATGTTACTTCAATTTTCAAACACTTTTTTTTTTACACTAACCCTATTGCTATTACATAGGGGTCTAACAAGCACCTAGGTACCTTAAAGAAGCTGAGGAAGCAGAGATCTGCTTCTCCAGCTTCATCTCCTGGCTCTAAGAGCCGGAGACTGTGTACAGTGACACCCTGGAAGTGATGTAATACACATCACTTCCGGGACAGGTGATCGGAGGGGAGATCAGTGGCTGGAGACCCAGCGTGCCGCTCCCGGGCGCCGCACAGGGATAGCGTTGCCCAGGGAAGCCAACAGCGGCCGCGGCGGGGGGGAGGCGCCGCCCAGTACAAACGATCCAGCGGCTGTACAGACACCAGATCGCTTGTAAGTTAACAGCAATTGCCTGCTGTTAAAAGTGCTACCAAGAGCACGGCTGCACGGCTGCTGTGTTCTTGTTTTAACCACTTCTGTGGGCCGCCGTCTATTGACCTATTGCGGCCCGGAAGTGGTTAATACTCACCTGATCCCTGGAACCACCGACAAGCGCAGACTCTCACGCTGTCAGAATATGCATACAGAGCGCGTCGCTTACGATTTAAACCAGCGCGCTGTGTGCAGCAACTGAGAAGATACGCTATTGGCATAGCGAGGAAGTCAGCTGCGCATTTTGCATTGCTCCTGCTATACTAATAGCGTATTTTCTCAGAAGCTGCATACAGCGCGCCAGTTTAAATAGTAACCGAGACGCTCTGTATGCATATTCTGACAGCGTGAGAGGCGGGACGCTGCGCTTGTCGGTGGATCGGATCAGGTGAGTATTTATGTCTCCTTACCCTGGTGGTCAGTGGGGCTCCCTGGACCCCGGTTGTGGGGGGTCTGTTGTGGCCGCAACTGCTCCATCCCTCCGCTGCCTCTCTGCCATCTGCACCCGGCCGGCCGGTCAGCCAGCTCGCATCAGATGCGGCTCTGTAATCGCCTCAATTGGGTCCTTGTAAATTCCTCAATTGGGTCCTTGCGAGGCCCCCGCGGGCGGCCCTCTACAATGCCTGATTAGAGGGCCACGTCTGCCTGATCCAGCCAGCCCGTATTGCATACTGGCTCGCCCCCCGTCTCTGCGCCCGGGGCAGCCGCACCGCCGCCCCCCGGTTGTTACGCCACTGATATGTATACCCACACACACACTATATTGCCTGCCTTTACACGCACATGAACTTAATGGCATCCCAGTCTTAGTCCGTAGGGTTCAATATTGAGTTGGCCCACCCTTTGCCGCTATAACAGCTTCAACTCTTCTGGGAAGGCTGTCCACAAGGTTTAGGAGTGTGTCTATGGGAATGTTCATCAGATACTGATGTTGGACGAGAAGGCCTGGCTCCCAGTCTCTGCTCTAATTCATCCCAAAGGTGTTCTATCAGGTTGAGGGCAGGCCAGTCAAGTTCCTCCACCCCAAACTCACTCATCCACGTCTTTATGGACCTTGCTGGTCATGTTGGAACAGGAAGGGGCCATCCCCAAACTGTTCCCACGAAGTTGGGAGCATGATATTGTCCAAAATGTCTTGGTATGCTGATGCCAGCCCCACACCATAACCCCCCTCCACCAAACTTTACACTTGGCACAATGCAGTCAGGCAAGTACCGTTCTCCTGGCAACCGCCAAACCCAGACAGGTCCACCAGATTGCCAGACAAAGAAGTGTGATTCGTCACTCCAGAAAACACGTCTCCACTTCTCTAGAGTCCAGTGGCGGTGTGCTGTACACCACTGCATCCGACGCTTTGCACTTGGTGATGTAAGGCTTGGATGCAGCTGCTCGGCCATGGAAACCCATTCCATGAAGCTCTCTACGCACTGTTGTTGTGCGAATCTGAAGGCCACACGAAGTTTGGAGGTCTGTAGCTATTGACTCTGTAGACAGTTGGCGACTTCTGCGCACTGTGCACTTCAGCATGCACTGAGCCCATTCTGTCATTTTACGTGGCCTACCACTTTGTGGCTGAGTTGCTGTTGTTCCCAGTTGCTTCCACTTTGTTATAATACCACTAACAGTTGACTGTGGAATATTTAGTAGCAAGAAATTTAATGGAACACCTGAATCCAATGATTTGGAGGGGTGTCGCAATACTTTTGGCAATATAGGGTATATAAACACTGTATATACACACTGTTGTGACCAAATGGTCATAAAGTGTATCTAAACCCAAGGACAAAATGTAGTGTAGTAAATTGCAGCTTACTAGTCCTTAGATGTGGTGCTGCATTATATTTTTTTTCCCTTTTTTTTTTTTTTACTTGGTGACCTGCCAGTAACACACTTCTTGCCCTAGGGTGACAATGCTTACTCACTTTACTGTTCACTGAGTTATGAAGGAGCAGCATTTATACCCTAGGACAGGAAATATTTTAGCACCTCATTCTCTCCTCAGCTTCTCTTTATCAAGAAGTTATCAGCTCACAAGACTTCTGGCAGGATCAAAATTGTGCTGTAAATTTAACAACTTAAAAGAGGGCAAATAACAGAAGTTAATTGTTTGGGTTTATGTACACTTTAAGCATCAACTCTTAAAAACCTCCACTTTTACCAAAAACAAAGGACTGTGTGATCTATAAATAACTTTTTCATTTCTCTCTTACATCATGTGTGTGCCTCATGTAATCACTATTAACGCAAAGTAAATGGCTAAGAACACAAATGAGACATTCACAATATTTGTTTATTAGCTCCCACCAGTGAACCTCTACATTTGACGGTTGAGGATGTAACAGACACCACCTGCACACTAAAATGGAGGCCCCCAGATCGTATTGGAGCTGGTGGAATTGATGGTTATCTGATTGAGTACCACAAAGAAGGATGTAAGTTCATGGAGGATTATAATGTAAACACATGGATTGTAACACAGCTAGAATACCATTTGTGGAATTTATTTTAAGGGTCATATATGTAAACTAAACTGGAAATACCGTATATACTCGAGTATAAGCCGTCCCGAATATAAGCCGAGGTACCTAATTTTAGCAAAAAAAACTGGGAAAAAGTATTGACCCGAATATAAGCCGAGGGTGGGAAATGAGGCAGCTACTGGTAGATAGATACCAATAAAATGACATTAATATTTATTTAAAAGAAAAATAACCTAGCTCTGTAAGTGGAAAAGGGGGTACAGGGCTACATATCATGTACTACGGATCATTTAACCCATTCATATTAGCAGAGGATAATTGTAAATCTATTGTTCAGTGCACTCTATATGTAGTATATAGTACATGTACATATAGAGTGCCTGCAACAATACATTTACAATGATCCTCTGCTAACATGAATGGGTTAAATGATCCATAGTACAGGGCTACATACAGATCATTTAATACATTCATGTTAGTATAATTGTAAATGTATTGTCTGCACTGTATTAGCAGTATATACTCTATATAGAGTATATACTGCTAATACAGTGCAGACAATACATTTACAATTATACTAACATGAATGTATTAAATGATCTGTATGTAGCCCTGTACTATGGATCATTTAACCCATTCATGTTAGCAGAGGATCATTGTAAATGTATTGTTGCAGGCACTCTATATGTACATGTACTATATACTACATATAGAGTGCACTGAACAATAGATTTACAATTATCCTCTGCTAATATGAATGGGTTAAATGATCCGTAGTACATGATATGTAGCCCTGTACCCCCTTTTCCACTTACAGAGCTAGGTTATTTTTCTTTTAAATAAATATTAATGTCATTTTATTGGTATCTATCTACCAGTAGCTGCCTCATTTCCCACCCTCGGCTTATATTCGGGTCAATACTTTTTCCCAGTTTTTTTTGCTAAAATTAGGTACCTCGGCTTATATTCGGGACGGCTTATACTCGAGTATATACGGTATACCCTTTTTCCTATTTTAGGTATTAGCTATATACAGTATGTTCCCTATTGGAGTGCATATTGTGTAAATCTTTGTTGCTCCTTTCCAAATGTAAGAGGTACTAAATACGATCTAAAAGTGCCCAAAAACAGACAGGGGCTGATTGTGCAGGTACTTTGTGCTCCTGGTGATATGGATAGGGGTCTGTAATCACTTGTAGCAAAAGCACTTGGATCTTAGGGTATGCAGGAGGCTGTGGGGACATGGAGTTACATCGGATTTTGAGGTGACCTGCAGCTCTAGTGGATCGGGTTATCTGCATATTTAGCAAAAGGTATAGCTTGAGACTCACAATCTAAGGACTCAAACACACCCATGCAGGCTAGCTGATAAGATATATAGTAGATACTCTGGGGACACTGTAAATGCACAGGGGTCAAGTGTCTGAAAGCACTTCGGTGTGGGACATGGAAGTAGACAGGGAAACAGCCATTTCTGTGAGCACTGGGGTGCTGGGCTCAGGAAAATGCACAGAAGAGCAGAAGTTCAAGACATTGAGCGCTCACTAAGTAAACACAGAGACACAGGTGCAGGAATGCTGGGGCTCTCTTGGAGTACACAGTGCACACAGGTACTAGATCACTGGAAGCTCACTTGGAGTACACAGGGCATACAGGTGCTGAAACACTGGAAGGCTCTTAGGAGAAAGCAGAGGCACGCTCTGCAGGCTGCGGGAGGCCACAGGTGTATACAGGGATCTTCAGGAACCAAGAGACAATATTATTTATATTATTTTTATACATTTATATACCTCTGGAAACACAGGGGGCTCAGCAGCTACAGTACTTACGTGTTTAAATGCTAAGCAACACTGCTGCGCTAGACCTTAGAGATAGCTATTGACTGGAGATTGGCTGCATACTGGCAGCCTCATACAGGGGGAAAGACCTGGAACAGGGCACAGGGGAGTACGACACTTTGGCACCATTGTCTTCAGACGTCTGCAGAAAAGTGCATCCTCAGACATGCTTAAGAAAAGGGGTCTAGGGAGATGGTGGCAAACAGCTCTGGTGCCATCTTGCCTGTGGGAAACAACTGCAGACATTTTTCAACTAACTGAATATATACAATAGAAGGGTTGACTTGGATACCCAGATGGTCAGATGGTCACCAAAACAAGCTGACATCACCCTAAGAATCATTTATCTTATGTTTGTGGGCAGCTTGAGCCTCACCTCCTTAGCATTCCATCTTGTAGTTCTCCAGCCTGATTAAGGTTAGCAGCCTCACAAAAGTTTATGCTAGCCAATTTACAATTTCACAGTCAGAGAAATTATTTGACTAAGGGGCAGACCAAAAAGGATCGTTAGTCAGCAATAAAATGATATTATTCCAATGTTCCTTATACCCATTTACTTCTCCAGCTTACACGTATTTGCATTCCCTGGTCATTTCAGTCTATTTAATACATTGTATTAAAACCTATGTCAAGACAAAATCATTAAAAAAAAAACTGTATTAACTACTCCCATGTTTTATCTGTTTAACCACGCTGCAAGTACAGAAAAATAACCGTTGATGTGCCAGGAATATAGGGGTTGATTTACTGAAGGCAATAGCCTGTTCACTTTGCATTGTTTTTTTTACTTTGCACGGGAATTTTCCCTTAGCTTAGTGAATGAGGTAAAGATCTACAGACTTCTACCATCACACCATGTGTAAGAAAAAATACTGCTTTTTATTCTCCTTGCATGTGGTGAAAATTCCTTTACAAAGTGAACAGACAATTTGCCTTTAGTAAATCAACCCCATAGTGTCCTCCTGAATTCCCCTATGACAATTTAGCTCTAAGTTCCAAACCACATTTTGTCAGCCCTACTTCATTGCTGATAAATTGCAAATGGCACATACATACCCTACCCTCCTATTTATCTTCATAACCCCTCCATGTGAACAGGCAGAGAGAATAAAATTAGTAGTAATAGTTAACTCACATTTCTTGGAAAACTAACAGGATTTTCTTCAGTGGCAGACCTAAGGAACCCCAGCTCCCAAGCCTTCTCAGAAGCCCATTGGCCCATGCAACCATGCCTCCTCCAACGGGGAGGGGGGGGGATCCCTGGACCTGATCTCACTAGCCCCGAACCACCCCCCTGGTGGAGGTCTCTGCACCAATGGAGCTCACACACTAATGTTCCCCCATAGTAACACACTACTATTTTTATATTATTTTTATACATTTATATACCTCTGACATATACTGTAGTGCTGTACAGAGAAAACTGAGCCAATCATACCAGTCTCTGTACAGAGGAGCTTACACTCTAATGCAAAATGGCACTGCCTGTAGAGGGACTACAAATCCCAGCAATACACTATACATATCATATGAATTTAGTACATACTCTGTGCTGCTCCGGGGTGCCAGCCTGATATCAGATGCAGAGGGTCTCAGCACGGGCAGATGCAGAGGGTCTCAGCACGGGCAGATGTGACCTGCGGGCTGGCACTGTAAACAGACGCCGCTGTGGTTCCCCCGAAGGCTACTGGGAGGTCCCCAGCAAGCAGAATGGCAGCTGAATCAATTAAAAAAATTGGGGGGCCCAGGACCAGAGCCTCAGCCCTGGGGCAGCGGGACCGGCTGCGCTGCCCATAGGTCTGCTCTTGGTTTTCTTTGCACTAATTAAACAGCTATAACAAAACAATTCAATGGTATATTTAGCGAATAGGAAGTGAATAAGAGAATATTGTTAGGGTTTAAATATAATTTAATTTCATCTAATATCATTTAGTTTGTTCTTCATTTACTTGCTCGGTGAATACATTCTTGGTTAACAGTATGCATTGGCTGCTATTGCTTCCATTCGGTAAACAAGTAGAAATAATACTGCTGATAGATGGCTCAAATTTTGAGCCTTAGGTGGCCCTGCAAGCATCCCTTAGCTGGACTACAGTCACTCTGAAAATCGACTGAGCTGGGCATAAAATTATCAGCCAAACAGTGACTGCATCAGATGCAGTCACTGTTTGTGTACTCAAGTTGATGCAGGTCTCTCCTCTGCTGAATACAATAGCCTACAGTGGAGCTTTCTCTGTGACGGACCCCCGTACTCAGGATGAGTATGTCCGCCGCTGTCTTCTTCCTTGCTGAGGAGATCTTGCAACCTGAAGATCCTTAGCTCCCAGTTTCCCCAGTCACTAGCCAAGGCTTGAGTGTAGGTGAAACAAACTCTCTGCTTTATTGAGCAACTGCACAAACTTTTATACAGAAAGTGATGAAATCAGATTATAATCCCATCACATCCCCCTTCCCCTCCCCAGAAATCCTGTCTTCACAACACCACAGGTGTCCACCTGCTAAATAGCTCCAGACAGCCATGGCAGGAGCCTGGCCAGAATGTCATTGTTCTGAGCTCCCTCAGAGAACAATGGGAGATAACGAGGGATGGGGCTGATAGTCTTTCCCTAACCAGGTCACACAGCATAACGCACTCAAACATAACTCAACACCAATACACATTTAACTTATAAACTGATCACCATGTCGTCACATTCTCCATCCAAGCTGTTTAGGCCATGTGCTGAATGTGAGAGAATCTAGCCGTGTATGGCTAGCATAAAGCTTCATGGAGATTAGTTATGTTTAAAAAAAGTTAAAGGAGAACTATGAGGTGAGTGCTTTTCATAGTTCTAGCCGACCTGTGACAATGAAACTGTCACAGGTCGGCTCAGTAGACCGGGAAGTGAGCGAACACATACCGGCGTTCCCTACCTTCTCTATCTTGTCACGTCAGAGAGCTGTGACAGGTGGAGGGACTGGATTCCTCCTCCCCTCTCCGATCCTCCAGCGCTGACTGGCGAAACGGACAGGGGAGGGGACGAGTACAGCTCTAGATAAACAGAGCCAGCTGTCACTCACGCAGCTGGGTGGATCCAGACATAATTGTCGGGATCCGCTTCAGCTGCGGCGTCTCAGTATACCACGAGCTGTAGCTCGCGGTATACTGCGGCGTCTCAGTATACCGCGAGCTACAGCTCGCGGTATACTGAGCTTAGGGTGACGGGATGTAACGATCCGTGCAAGCGCGGCTGGGTATCTGGGATCGCAGCTGCGGAGCTTAGATGGAGACGGTTCAGGAAGAGGGTTCACAGTCACACTTTAGTGTAGTGAGTGCAGTCGGAACCCCTGTCACATCATACACCATCAACTCACTACATAGGCTGTTATCTATTATGCAGTTTCTCAACCCCAATTAATTAGCATTGGGGTGTGATACGTTTTGTAGTTTCTCACTCACTAGTTCAGTTCACTAATGATGAAGGTGTAGTTAGCTCTAGAGTAGGAGTGTATGGTGATTACAGTCTCAGTATGAAGAGAATACACAGTTGGAACAAGATCACTTATAATCCCCACTCCTGAACTCTTCCATAAGCACCAATTGGGAACAACTGTCCTATGCAGCAGTGGAATCAGTAACACATTGTCTTCAGAGAGCACTATGTATGTTAGCTTCGTCCCTGGTGTTATCTTCCCCAGAGCACTAATGGGTTACATGTGCTAATGGTTACTTGCGGTTTGGTTGGAAGATCAGATGCCACACTGCCAGGTATGCAAGGTAGAAAGTCCAGGTCTCAGGGGCAGAAGGTGCCCGGGTTCAGGAGTCTCACACTGGTTCTCGGTAGCATGTGTCCCTAGCGAACTTGCTCGACGTACTACTTTGATAGAACGCCGAGCAAGTGGTGAGCCTACCGTTTTGCCGTGGTATACTGCTCCGATGCAGCGTAAGTTCCTTACACGGGAGGACGCTAGTTTGTGTCCTCTGGTTACCCATAGGAGAACTATGGGGAAAAGCCCTATCCCCATAGTTCTCCTTTAACCTTTAGTTAACCTTTAAAAAATAAAAACTGCCATGTCAAGGTTGAGTCATTGGCAGAGGACTCTGTACACTGCTGAACGTTTAGCTGTTGTACATTACGACATTGTCATAAGTCCAGTCTGCATTCTCTATATGTATTTTTACAGCTACTGAATGGATAGCTTCCAACCAAGAGCTTGTAGAAAGATGTGGATTCACTGTGAAGGATCTTCCAACCGGAGAAAAGGTTGAATTCCGTGTGATTGCAGTAAACATTGCTGGAAAAAGTGAACCAGCAGTCATGGCTCAGCCTGTCACTATTCGGGAGATTGTGCGTAAGTCTCTTAAATAAATCATACCTTATACTTCAGATGACATCAGTTCATGTACTGTGTATTTTCTTTTATTGATACAGTTTATAAGTATATAACAAAACAGTTGAACTGCTTTTGAAATGTGGTCGAAAGGCCAGCCTTTGCACCCAAAGTAAATAGTGATCAATCAAAATACTTGTTTAATTATTCCTGTTAATAAAAGGTGAAACCTTTCTGGATGCTGCTATAAAAACAGCTCACACTGGGGCCGTTTTTTCTAATTTTAATGAAGCAACCCTAATGTATGAAATGTATGACAATGAAGTGTTCTTTATAAAAAGAAAATGCTTTTCGGAGAAAGTGTTAACTCTCCATTCTTCCTTTCCAGCAAAGAAGTTTCATTAAAATACTCAGGCTGATCCTTCAGGTTCACCGAGAGTGAATTTACTGGCCTGGAACAAGTATATAGCGTGTGGCATTAAAAATTTCCAAGATACATACAGTATTTGATCTAAATTAGCTACTTCTAGTAAAGTTGCAGGATCAGCTTGAGTGTAATGGAGCTTGTATCTTGAAATAGGTTTATGATAAAGGCTGCTTTTTTTGGCAATGTATAGCATTTCTCCTAATGGTGCACTCCCTTTTACATAAACATATAAAGGGTTTTTTCCTAATTGTTTGTACTTTATTTTAACTTAACAGAACAACCAAAGATTCGCTTACCTCGCCATCTCAGACAGACGTATATAAAAAAAGTGGGGGAGCAAGTCAATCTGGTTATTCCTTTCCAGGTAACTGCATGATGGAAATAACGAAGTGGGTGGAAAGGGGCATTCAGTATTTTTAGATGACAGTTTTAAACAATGCTGTATCAACGATATTTACAGGGAAAACCAAGACCAAAGCTCACGTGGTCAAAAGAAGGCCAGCCCTTGGACCCAAAGCAAATCAGTATAAGAACAACTGATGTTGACACTATTATGTTTATCCGATCTGCTGAACGAAGTCACTCTGGAAAGTATAGTCTCACTGTGCAGATTGAAAACATGCAAGACACTGCAACAATAAACATTCGTATTGTAGGTAGGTCTCTGAGGAAATTCAGGATTGTTGGAACTTCTTGCACAGCCCCACAGAAAAACACAAGCACACGGTCTGATAAGCATGCTGTACATGGCTTGGAAACAGGAAGGAATCCACAGCTTTATTCTCTACCTTTTACAATACAACAGAGTATCTACCATAGATATATAACAGAACTTATAAACACTGCCATCTACTGACCAAAAATGTATACTGCAGGAGTTACAATAATGTGTATTCTAACACCCCAACTCAATAACTACTTATTATGTTAATGCCATTCTGGATCCAATTGCACGCTTATCTTGGGGTAGCTCTGAAAGTGTCCATGTCTGCAGTACATTAACCAGTTGACATCCGCGGTGTTAAACCCCCTTCCCATCCAGGCCAACGAGCAGAAAACAATTTCTGCAAATGCAGCAGTGCCGTCCGTCCGTTTTTTTACTACGGGCGGACGGCAAGAGGTTAAGAGATGTCATCTCTTCATCAGCAGCTCTGATCCACTTTTGTTTCTCATGGGTTGGAGTTCTTTGCATCTCATCCTATGAATCTGGGTCTGGCTTTAATGCTTCACAAGCAACATAAGATAGACGCTTTGCTGGGATGCCTTTGTGGCTTCGTATGGACTTCCTGACTGAAGACTCTTGTGGTGTGGCTTCTTCTTTTCAGAATTTGTATTGTCTGGTAATTTATATTTCTGTGTCACCCTGTCTCTTGTCTTTGTGTGAAATTGATGTGGATTTTCCCTCAGTTTCAGATGTTTGTGTCATTTGTGACATTTTGAACACACTGAGGTTTCATCAACAATAACACTTCTGCTAACAGTTACCTAGTTTGTGTCTTGGTGCAGGATTCTGTATCCCTTTTGAGATTCACTGTATCCCACAAGTACACCTTCTTTTGCTCAAGCATCCCATTTTGTATGTTTTTCCTTTGGGATGTGGACATAAGCTTTGCTTCCAAAAATGTGTTTATGCTTTAAGTCTGGTGATCTTCCATTCCATAGTTCAGGGCTCAAAATTTCCACTCGCCCGCTCGCATTTGGCGAGTGGAAATAAAGAGAGGGACACCCCATTTTGCTCTGGCTTGTATGGCACAGTCGTTTGAAACATTATCCCATGCTTTCTGAGAATTGTCTGTGTGTTGCCACTTGTATATTCACTTCCATTGTCTGTCCGCAAGGTATTAGGCATTTTACCAAATTTGTTGAGCCAAAAACTGTTCAAGTTTCTCTGGTACTTCACTTTTGTTGTGTAGCAGATACAATGTAGTATATCTGGAGTAATCATCAATAAAAGTGAGAAAATACCTTTTCTTTCCTGGAGTTAATTTTTCCATTGGACCGCATAGATCTGAATGAATTAAATGCAGAGGCTTTTAAGTTCTGCTGTTGCTCTGCTTTGGAAAAGCCTTTTTTGTCATTTTCCTTTAATGCAGCTGGTACATTTCATGGTTTGATCACATGGGCTAATATGCATTCCACGTGCATAGTCATTCTGAACTATTTTCTTTATTATGTCAGGATTTCTGTGACCAAGTCGCCTGTGCTAAGTGTGGATGCAGTTTAAATATTTCCTCTCTTTGGCAGTATTCACCATTTTACTGCAGTTCAGCTGATACAGTTCATCTGTGATTTTAGCCTTTGCCAACAAGGTACAATTGTCACCCTGAAAAGTCACTACATTCCCTTGTTTTGTGAGCTTCTTTACTGACAAAAGATTGGTTTCAAGAGCAGGCACATACAAAAAAATGTTCACAGGTATTTTTCTGGTGACACTCTGGGATATAAGACAATAAAGAAAATCGTCTCCTATTCCTGCTGATTCCATTATTTGTCCATTAGCGGTTGTAATTTTCTCTGTTTTACTCTGGTCAAGATTAATGAAGACATTTCTGTCTTTTGTCATGGGACTCGTAGCTCCTGAATCAACACAATGCTTGCGAAGATGTGGTGCAGCATTTTGATTGAAAAGCACATTAATTATCTGAAGTAAAGTCTGTCTCTTCCTTTACGCTTTTGGCCCTTTGTGGTTTATTTTGTTTTTGCATTCTAGCTTTCCAGATTCTGCAGTCTGCCTTTAAGTGACCTTGTTTCTTACACACAACACATTCACGTGTTTCTGGTTGCATCTTCCTGGTTTTATGTAGATTTTCCATCTTTAGTGCAGACTCCACACTGGAAGCACTGCATTCATATACAAGCTTGCCTTTAACAATTTCTAATGTCAGTTCATCATCTGGACGTGCATCAAGTGCTGTAACAAGTATTTCATAACTTTCAGGTAAACCACTCAGTAATGGTGCTGCAACATGAAAGTCTTTTATTTCTTCTCCTAGACCTCTCAGGCGTTCCTTCATTTCTAAGGTATGCCTTATGTAATCCTGTATATCCTGGCCTTTCATCAGCTTGGTTTGGTATAGTTTTCTAATCAGATACAGTTTATTGCTGAGGTTAGATATTTCATGCAGCTTTTGCAATGCTTCCCACATCTCCTTAGCAGTTTTACATTTACATACATGTATGATTTGATCATCTTCTATGCTAAGGGCGGTTGTGCTCTGAGCTTTCAGATATGACTCTGTCCATTCAGCCATGGGCTGTGCTGGACGGACTTCATCCACACACTTTCATGTACCTTCTCTTATTAGCAGCATTGTCATCTTGAATTTTCATGACTGGTAGTTCTGGTTTGTCAGATTTGCAAATGAAAGCGTTGTTGCTGCTGTGGTACTAGCCATGTTCTTCTAGTTGCTGTAGTCTCTTTCTGTTGCTGGATCTTGTGCTCTTTTTACTTTTAGGCTGTAACTGCACTATAACTGGACTGTGACTGTGCCTGGGCCCATAACCTGTTGGGACTTCTTGCACAGCATCACAGAGAAACACAAGCACACAGTCTGATATGCATGCTGCACATGGCTTGGAAACAGGAAGGAAGCCACAGCTTTATTTTCTACCTCTACAATACAACAGATTCTGTACTAGGGATGCTCCGATACTGATACAAGCATCGGTATCGGAGGCGATACCGAGTATTTGCATGAGTACTCGTACTCGTACAAATACTCCGATACCGAAAACGAGTACCTGTGCCGCGTCCGCCATCTTCAAGGACCCGAAACCGCTGCACACAGGACCTCCATAGCGTCTTCAATCAATCAAGATGGCAGCAAACTCCTCCTCCACGGGCGAGCGGCTAAAAGTAAACTCCGCCTCCAAGTCCTCAGTCCTCACTCCTGACTGGTAAGGATGCCTGTCAATCATCCAATCGGCCAATCAGCGGGAGAAGAGGCCAGCATGGAGTGGATGACTAGGCTGTGACACGGAGTGGATGAAACAGACAGAGAGGACGACACAGCAGGTTAGTACTGCAGCACCGCATGGGGGCTGGGTACATGATGGCACAAAAATAATATATGCCGGCAGTAATGCTGTTTAACTTCATATAAACTTTATATAAAGTTAAACAGCATTACAAAGCCTTAGCAATGGCATGATCATTCTAAATATTCAGTTAATTTCATTATTCAATGTCTTTTTTTTATATTATAAAATTTATAATATAAAAAAAGACATTGCATAATGAAATTAACTGAATATTTAGATCATGCTATTGCTAACTAAGGCACAGTGGGGAAAATAGATGAGCACGTGTCCAGACCCCAGACCACAACACTGTATAGTGTGGCACAGCTATATCCAATTCTGCATACCTGGTGTTATATTATAAAAAAAACTTTATAAAAATATAAAGGCAGTTATACAGAATTGGACATGTGCTCATCTATTTTCCCCACTATGGGGATACAAGCCTTAGTTAGCAATGGCATGATCTATTCTAAATATTAATTTCATTTCTTTATTCAATGTCTTTTTTTATAGTATACATTGTATAATATAAAAAAAGACATTGAATAATGAAATGAACTGAATATTTAGAATGCTTATGCCATTGCTAACTAAGGCTTGTATCCCCCCCCCCCCATAGTGGGGAAAATAGATGAGCACCTGTCCAGACTCCAGACCAGAATACTGTATAGTGTGGCACAACTATGTCCAATTCTGCATACCCGGCTTTATAATATAAAAAAAGACATAAAATAATGAAATGAATATTTAGATCATGCTATTGCTAACTAAGGCTTGTATCCCCCCCATAGTGTGGAAAATAGATGAGCACATGTCCAAACTCCATACCTGAACACTGTATTGTGTGGCACAGCTCTATCCAATTCTGCATACCTGGCTTAATAGTATAAAAAGCCAAGTGTTCTGGTCTCATCTATTTTCCCCACTATGGGTACACAAGCCTCAGTTAGCAATGGCATGATCTAAATATTCATTTCATTTCATTATTCAATGTCTGTTTTTTCATAATATTAAGAAACCGACCTAAAATCATTATTTTGTATTGCTTTAGAAAAAATGTGACCTGTCCCTTTAAGAAAAAGTATCGGTAATTGGTATCGGCGAGTACTTGAAAAAAAGTATCGGTACTCGTACTCGGTCCTAAAAAAGTGGTATCAGAGCATCCCTAGTATCTACCATAGATATATAACAGAACTTATAAACACTGCCATCTACTGACCAAAAATGTATACTGCAGGAGTTATTGCAATAGATACAATAATGTGTATTCTAACAAGGATATATTGCTAACTACTGGACAAAATGTTGCATCTAAGCTAATGTACCTTTAATAGTTTTACATTATTCCCTTAAAAGGTAACTGCAAAGAACAAGGGGACAGTTTTTGCGTCTGGAGGAAAAGAGGTTAACGTTTGAATATGGAAAGACTTCTTCACAGTTAAAGCTATGAAAATGTGGAATTGACTCCCGCAGGAGCTAGTTCTAGCTAGTTCAGTTAACTGTTTTAAAAAATAACCTGGATGCATTCTTAAAAGCACAGAATATTACTAGATATTAACTTCTTATAAGTAATATAATTATCATTTTTTGCCTTCCTTTGGATCAACTGTAGGTAACTGTGGGCATAGGATTCTGTTTTAGGGTTATTTTTTCTTATCTCTATAGGTTGAATTCGATGGACTTTTTACAACCTGATTAATTATGTAACTATGTATTCAAAAATGTCAGCTTGACATAAAAATGTTATCAAGCTGTGGTAATGTTTTAAATGATTTGTTTCTTTTTTGTAATTAGAAATGTGCATTGGGCACTCATATTTGCTTATTATATACATGATTTGCTTTCTGCCTTGCAGTGCTAGACAGTAGTTATTCTTTACGGCTCCTTTTCAAAATGCAAGTCTTTGAAGTTGATATACTAAAGGAGTTGAGAATGTTTAAACAATAAATTGTGTGAAGATTCACTTCAAAAGCAAATCCCTATTTATTGTCTGCACATAATTGAAGTGAGTATTGCCAACTCTTTTAGTAAATCAGCCTTTATGGGTCATCTGACACTTTGTACGGTATACCATTTTGCACCCTGTTGTCCAAAAACAGCTAGACTTTTGTGCTGTTTCACCTTTAACAGCCACCTACCAGTATCCCTACCAGTATTTGGATGGCCCCAGGATATAAGGTGCTGTGCTATATTTACAGGACTATAAAGCTCCCAAGCAAACCAGAGAGAGAGTAAACATACTGTGTCAGGTGGCTTCATGATGTGATATAGTTCAAGGCAGGTGATGTATGCTCAAGCGGCCTGGTCTTGTGACAGGCTGGACACAGAGTATGCAGTGGTCAGGGCTGGCGGCAGACATTAGCGTAATCCGATAGCTAACGTTGAATTGTAGTTACTTTGGCTGTAACTGTCACCAACACAACCAAAATATTTATGCTACCCTTTTCTAGAGCACTCAGACACAGTATTGAGTGGCTGGTAAGTGTGCTAGAAATGTACACCTTGCTCTAAATACCTAGTTTTTGATTGCTGGGACACACTGGAGGCCATCAGCTGTCTGTGTGCTGTGCTGGGCTTTTAGTGTGTACCTTTTAAGGAGGAATTGGTTACCTCCAGAGAAAAGTAACCCTCTCTATTTTTCATAGTGACCATTGTCAATGGGACTGAAAGTGAATGGAGAATCCAAAATTTTATTATCACCAGAACAGAAATATAGGGGGAATATTCCAATAAGAACACTTGTTCCAGTGTCAACTGTCAATAAAAGATTTTGCTACAGTACAGGAAAGCATCTGCACACAGAGCAAGTTAGGACAGGCAGGCTCAGTACAGCCTCTTTTAAATAGGTATGTAGCTGCTATCCTGCTGTGACATATGTGACACAGGGTGCAAAAGACAATTGACAGGGGTTTTAATTCTTTCATATGCTATTCAAAACAAACAAACGGAAAATAGTTGACCTTTAAATATACTTTAACAAAGATAATGTCTACCCTTTCTATCATTATTATCATGATCATCATTGATGTTACATCTACTACAGACCATTCATTAAAAGGATAGGTAATTAAACTATCAGACTGTGGCTTCTTGAATGCGGGTGGCCGTTTTTAAACGTCCTTGCCCACCCTGCTCGTGTCCGCTGCTGGGGGGCACGCAAGAGCGGGAAAACTGATTGAATTGTAAACAGCCATACAATTGTAAACAGGCAGTTCACATACAAGCGTTCTGGTGGCTTTGGAGACACCCAATTGCTTGTATTATGCATGTCGGTGTGCGGTTCCCGCCAACGCCGCCAATTCTGAGCTCCGGGACTGGTACAGCCCGCCAATGCGGGCACGGGACTGGTACAGCGGCTCTGCCACCGGAGATCATCACATGATCTCCTTCTGATCTCCTTCCCATTCTCTGAATGCAGGAGTGATGTACTACATCACTTCCGCATTCAGCTGTCATTTTTCTGTAGCTGGAGAGAAGCTGGTGAAGCAGATCTGTGCTTCATTAGCTTCTTTGGAGGTCCCTGGGTGACATTAGGGAGTGTTAAAGACCTATGATGTCTACATAAAGGGGACCTGTCTGTGTAAATTGGCAATCACATAGAGGGCTTTTTAGTCCCCTATGTGATAGCAATAAAGTTAAGTGAAAAAAAGTTTTTAAAACATGTAAGTCACATATAAAAAAAAAACACCTCATTTTTTTTAAAGTCTTCCGCCTCCACATGCACACGCAAACATGCGTCAGGTGCACATACGTGCGAAAATTATGATTGCACTCATTGTGCCACACATGTTACATATCACCGCGAATGTGGGAGTGCAAGCAATAATTCTAGGGTCATTAATCACTGTTAACACTAAACTGATGGGTGGTAAAAGCTTGTAAAGTGTCGCCAATGGCCAATTTTATGTAGTGTCACGCAATTTTAAAGATTGACGTCGGGTATCTATTTACCCAACGTGACCCCATATTTTAGATTTTACCAAAAATGTGGGTAATAATAAATGTTTTATAATATAACGTAGGGGAAGCTAGTTGTTTTTTTTCCGGTACTTTTTTAATTATATAGTAAAAAAATTCAAACCCCAGTGATGATTAAATACCACCATCTTCAAGTGGTTAATCTTTTAAAAATAGAAGTCTCCTAATTTTTTCTTGTCTCCATATTGCTGACTGAGTGTCGGGCTCGATGTTTGAGTCGAACGTGAGTTCGACTTGAACATCGCTAGTTCGTGTGTTTTTTATTTCGTTGAGTCGTCTTCGTGGACAACGTTGGATTGACCCTGGATTACGTCAGTGGATCCATTTTTTCTTTTTAATTAAAGACTTGTCAAAATCATGTCTTTTGTTTTTTCTCCAAATAAAGGATTTTTTCAAAAGTCTGGAATTTTTATTCACAATTTTATTTAACCCTTTAGTGAATCATTCACAAGGGGGAGGCAGCATCTGGGTGCCCCTTTATTAAAGGGGTACCCTGATGTAAAAAAGCCCCCTGCCCGCACCCCACAACCAAAGCCCCGAAGCTTGTGGGGAAGAGGCCCTTGTCCCCATCTGCACGGGGACAAGGTGCTTTTCCTGGGGCGATCCTAAACAAAGCACCCTCCCAGTGCCAAGGGCATGTGGTCTGGTATGGGAGGGAGGGGGCGCCCACTCATCCCCCCTTTCCGGCCCTGCCAGGCCTATGCTCTGATCAAGGGTCTTTTTGGGGGTGGTGTTCCTCCTTAAAATTCCTACCAGACCTTAAGGACCTGGTATGACTTTAAGGATGGGAACCCCACACATTTTTTTTTCTTTTTTTTTTACATGGAGTCCCTCCTCAATATTCCTACCAGATCTTGAGGGTCTGGTATGACTTTGGGGGGGTACCCCATGCTTTTTTAAAAAAATTTGGTCCTTCCTAATAGTCCTGGTATTGTTTGGGAGGGGGAACTGTATGCTTTAAGAATTAAAAAAAATAATAATTGTTTTTCTTTAGAAGTGTCAGTTTTGCTGCAGCAGGTTCAATACATTGCACAGATTTGCCACTTTACAGGCAGTCTAAGGGGACCCCCCCCCCCCCCCCATATTGTTACCCTTTAAGTAATGTTAAAATCACTGCTCCTTTAAAAACTTTATTTTTTCAAAAGTTTTTTTTTCATTGATTCCTGTCCCCCAAGGCAGTACCCGGCTCCCCATGCACCTTTTTATGGCCAATAAATTGCATATAAGGCTTCAAAATGGGGACATTTGATTTTCAATGTTCTACCCCCAAAAAGTTGCATTGAGTTCGAATATGAACTTTCCCCATGTTCAAAAGTTCAAATTCGAACCAAACAGTCACTACTGACGGATGAAGGAACTACACCATTTAAGATGAAGTGTGCTGAATATCTGCATAAATCAGGTTGCTATAGTTCAACTATATTTAACATCATCCTTCTGGACAATGTCCAGCAATGGCTGCATAACCTCCCTTGCCACCAGCTCTATCGCAGGCTACAGAACGTGAGAGGTTTATTTTAATCCCTCCTAATTCAGAGTTGAAAGTGTGAATTTACTAGTCCTGAAATTGGTCATGAAGGCGCTCCTGCTGTTCCAAGAACATGGCAAGCCTTCCGAATGTTGTAACTGCTCTGAAAGCTGCTGTCATGCCAATGCCTTGCTGCCAAAAGCTTAATTATTTCATCATCTGCATATTTAAGTAAAAGCCATTTTCATATAGGGAATGTTCTTTTGACTGAAGATATACAGTATGTTGTAAAGCACTGCGCAAACTGTTGGCACAAAATAAATTCTGTGCAATAATAGTAATATATTTGACAAATTATTGAATTCAGGTCTTCAAAAAAATACAGAGACTGCCATTATTACTATAGTGAACCCCCTTGTGATAATGAAGTTGCTTGCCTGTTGACCAGCTTGCTTCATTTAGTTTAGCCACTGGTCTAGGATAGGCATGGAGACTAGGACTTTACACTAACTTTCCTGGTCTACTACTTTCTGGTTAGTTGCCAGGCAACCAGCATTTTCAGAAAGAGGTCAGCATTAAAAGCTCCTGTACAGTGGCGGAACTACCAGGGTCGCAGAGGTCGCGGCCGCGACCGGGCCCTGGAGTTCGGCCACTTGGAGGGGGCCCAGGACAGGAGGAAGGGGCCACTGGTGACCGCTGATTACCAGTCCCGGGACCTCTTCCTCCCGTCCTGGGCCCTACATGATGTATTTTCTTCTGTGATGGGTTTACTTTAAATTGTGCCTTTCTATTTTGGTTTGGGCAAACATTTCTGTGAAAGGCAGCAAGTTTGTTTACATACAGTAGGCAGACATGAGTGGACCTGAGGGATTGTATTGTATATGTGTCTTTGAACTTTAAACATATATTCCTGATTATGTTTGCAGAAAAGCCTGGTCCTCCACAAGCTGTGACTGTCAAAGAGGTCTGGGGTTTTAATGCCCTGGTGGAATGGGTGCCACCAAAGGACAACGGAAATTCAGAAATCACAGGCTACACTATACAAAAGGCTGATAAGAAGACAAAGGTTAATATGTGTGCTTATGTGTAATATTCATTTTGCTATAACTAAATAATTCTACTCTGATTTCAAACATGATTTTTTAATTTAATAAAATCTTAAATAGGTAGTAATACAACTACCTTAGGACTGAACTATCTCTTCTTACTGCGCATGCACGCCACAATACAATATATTCCTATGGGAGAGCCGTACCCAGACTGCTAGAAACTGCCATGAGTAAGGTTCTCCCAACTGTAATTCATTGAGTTGGGGAAAGCAGTAAGCACGCATAGTAAGAAGAAGACCCAGCTGGGTCATTTTCGGTGGAAGCTCTGTCCGGTGCTGGGCATGGCCACAAAGTAAGAATCCCTGGAAGGGGAAGGACGGTCAGTGCTAAACCAGGCCAGCTGCATTCAGTGGGTTGGGAACATTTATTAAAAGACTGCTCTACTAATAGTACAGTTGTCCTTTTTATAATAGTGATGCAACCAGTAATAAGTATACCATCAGATAGACATGTAATGTGATGGGCATAAACTGGGGAGTCCTTACAATATTTGCCGCTTAAGGCCTGGTTGGGGGGGCTGGGAGGGTGCTGGTGGTGCATGTTACCGGGGTGGGGCAGGATGTCAGGGGGTTTGTTGTTGGCCGTGCATGTTATTGGGAGTAACCTAGGCCACTGACGTCACGTGTTGCCAGGAGCTTGGCAGGACACCAGCCAGGGCGTCCCAGGTTGCTAAGAGCTCTTGACAACCTGAGATGCTCTGGCTGCAAAGGGGATGGCATGCACAGCTGGCCCATCATTATAAGAATGGCTGTGGGAATAACAGAATACCTATGCTTTCATTGCCAGGTGTCATTGCTATATTTGGGCATGGAGATACTGGTGCAGACCATAAGGCCCTCCTCACACTAAACCTTCCTGTAACCACTTAGGCTGATATCACAGTTGCCATTCTGTGGCTGGCAAGAACTCACCAGCTCAAGGATCAATAAAAAAATGCTGAGAGAACACTCACCTGCTTTGAATGTTTTGACCATCTCTGCCTAAAACCTGCAAAACATAAGTCACTGGAGAGAGAAAGACACCTCACTCATCCAGTCAGCAAAGAAATAACACATGCAAGTAGGAGAGTATTTCAACTTACTGCTGCGTCCTCCATACAATTCTCACCAGCAGCAGGTTTATGAGTGTGACATCGGCACTACACTAACCCTTTCTGTAATCCTCACACTAACCGCTATCTGCAAATATAACCCTCCATATAACTCTAACCTTCACACTAGCCCACCCTGTAACCCTAACATAAACCCTATTAACCCTAAACCCACAATCACACTGTAACACGAACCCTCCTTAATTTAAACTTAACCTCTTGTTTGCATACTGGCCTCCTTTCCTATGGCATCCTTTACCCTGAAGACCAACTCTATCTGCACTGAAGAATACCAGCACTAAAGTCCTGGTACAAATTACCATTAGAAAACTGTTCAAACGTTCACCTTTTTGCATCATTCTGTGTTTCTCTGGTACTCCCCAGGAATGGTTCACCGTATATGAACACAATCGTCAGCCACGCTGTACAGTGTCTGACCTCATCATGGGAAATGAATATTACTTCAGAGTGTTCAGTGAGAACATAGTTGGCCTTAGTGAGAATCCAGGAGTCTCCAAGAACCTAGCCGTCATTCAAAAAACAGGTAGGTATAAATTACTATACAAAAACACACATGCAACTAGGCACTATAGCTCTTCAATGCTGTAACCTCTCATCAATTAACTGATTTCAAGACTCAACACAACCATGCCTTGTAAAATACAGGAAACAATTTCAGTCAGTCATATCCACAGAGGAGGTTCTCTAATTAATTTCTAAAAATAAAGTTCGGTCTCCGAACCATGATTTGGGGTTTATGCCAATACCACTGCTCTGCTGCTAGAAAAAGTTAAAATATCTTCACAAAATGATAAGTAGCTCTGCGAGAAGGAATGTAGCTCCAACATAGCAGCAGTAGCCAGCAGAAGCAATGTATACAATCTTATGTAATATTGAACTATAAGAATACAAATTCCTAAAGTGTTTAAAAAACCTGAGAAGAAAAATTTAATATACTGCAGCTTACAAGTCCTTAGATTTGGTAGTTTTCTTTTTTCAGCATTGTTTTCCTTTATTTTCTAGTAACACACTTTGTGTCCTAGGGTAACAAGAGTCACTCATGGTACTGTGTCCATGGAGGAGCAATGCTGTCACCCTAGAACAGGAAGTGTGTCCTTCCACTTTCCATAACATAGGGGGAAGTGTTCTTTAGTTCACCAAAAGAACAAGGCAGGGCTGATAACAGAAGGTTATCAGAAGTGTGTACTGGAAGTTATGAACTCACTGTATTTCTAACAGGATCAACAGGTAACAGAGCATGTTCGGCTGACCGAAGACAGCCGATGTACGCCTGGTTTTAGCTGATGTACGGCTGAAATCAGCCGTACAAGGCTGAAGTGAATAGCCGAACAGCTTTCAGCTCACTTATTATTATTATTATCACTTCACTTGGTCTTGGTTATTATATTGGCTGCCTTCGGCAGCTAAGTGAATAACCCCCTTAGTGTTTGAAGCACTGAAATACAGTACTTAATTTTATGTATTGTAATGGTTGGTGGACCACCACAATTGTCACACTTATATTAAGAGTCACTTTGCACTTTATCCACTGGCACTTTATTGATTGAAATATTGGCACGTAAGTTATAAAAGGAAAATATTGCTTATTATACATAATTTTTCATTGTTTAGCACATTTAAGATTACTAGGCACAGCGCAACACTGATAATCTTAATACAACTGGAAGTGCATACACGTTTGTGAGTGCTGCAACTTGCAATGGTAGATATTGAACATACACTAATTTTATATCCTAGCGCGATTCAATTGTTGTTATTACTGTTTATATATGTATTGTGGCCTGAATTGGTTAACACTGAAGAATGAAAACCCTATATTGCATAATGCTTATATTGTAATGCTGCTGACTGGGTGAATGAATTAATCTTAGTTGCTAAAAACAGGTCCAAACCTTTCCTCTATGTACCAAGAGAAAGCATCAAAGACCTAAAGGCTAAACTCACAAAACTTTACCACTAGTTAATTATTTTTATAATTATTTTTATCTTCAGCCATGTGAACTGTCATTTGATAATAAGGATCCTTATACTGGTATGTTAGCTATGTGAATAAGGCCCCATATGTGTGCCACTGTGCAAGGATCATAGTCGGTCCCAATGCCAATAGCAAGGATGGGCAGATATCACAGATCATTCTTGTGGAGATATCACCAACCTTAATTGAGTATGAAAGTAAGCTCAAGGTAACTCAGTTATCAAGGCTTAGCAGGAGCATTTTATCAATTAAAATATTTGTGAGGAAGAAGCATTGAGTGGAGGTCAAGGGTCAGGTGGTAGGGATGAGCCAAAGGGGGAGAAATTACAGGGGCTGCTGGCAGTCCTTTCTGGAAGGTCAATGGAATTATCAGGTTGTCCCACCTGCCCTCCCTTATTCACTAGAAAGGAAGGAATAGTTCATTCTGAAACTGTCCTCAAGCCGGTGGGGGTGCAGCTTGGGACATGGGGTAGATTTAGCAAAGCCTTATTTTGACTTATGAACACCAAAGACCCCTTTACTTTCCCCATTCATTATTTATTTGGTATGTTATTCTGGTTATTCTGATTTGGTAAATGTTAGTTTGTTATATGGCTTAATAAAGGGCTGTAGTAGCCATTGAAATCTATGTTGCGCAGTCTGTGTGTTTATTGGAAACGTAATAAAAGGGGTAGAATTGAGAAATCCATCAGTAATGTACATGTTATACATACTGACAAGTGTCAAAGTTTTACCACGTCCAAAAACCAAGCACACGTTGACAAATCTTGTGCTTTTTGTAATTGTTAATTATACTTCTTTATATGGAATTCTTACCAGCCTCATTTGAAAAGTTAAATTAAAACTACACTGTGCACTGGCTGTTAAAATAAAGAAGGATGCAAGATTTCAGGAATGTGGTATCAGACACTATGGCTAGGCATAGATCAGGAAGCAGGTTTGTACAATCATAAATAATAGTAACTTCAGATAAAATGGTGCCAAAGCAATCATACATGAAAGTAAGATCAGAACTCTGGTCTTCAAATCCTGGGGTCTAATTCTATACTTTTTCTGTAGAGACTTCTGCACTCGATTACTCTACAAAGAAAGACTCATTCAGTAGAGGTGTTCAGCTATTCACTTCAGGCTTGTACGGCTGATTTCAGCCGTACATCGGCTGAAATCAGCCGTACATCGGCTTGCTTCGGTTCAGCCGAACATGCCCAGCATGTTCAGCTGAGCCAAAGTGCAGAAGGAGTTCGACTCAGCCGATCCAACATCTTGATCGGCTGAGCCGACCCTTCGGCAGGCTACCGCTGCCGTTTCTCATAGGGGCCGAACGGCAGTGAGTGAATACCGAGGTACTGAGCAAAATAGAAAAACAGTGAAAAAAGTAGATAAAAAAGTAGGATTTTTTTTTCCAAATGTGAATAAATGATACATTTTAAAAAATAAATAAAGATTTTAAAAAGATTAAGATTATTGAAAAGATAAAAAAATTAAGAAACAATTGGAGCTACGGCTGATCCTTCGCTAGCTTTGTGAATAACCCTCTAAGAATACACTTTTGTTTCAGTTTTATTTCATACATTAAGACTTGAGAGAGTTGTCTGCATGCAACGATTTCATGGTCGCTCTGTTTCAATTATGGGTTTAACACACTGACATAGGACATTTGCTACTTTACTAGTCACTTTTGAGACTTTTTTCAAAGATATCTACCTTTGACTTACACAAACAGTTGAAAAGAAGATTGAATTTGAATATTTTTTCCGCAGAAGTATTGTTGACTGTAATATTTGTTTTTTGCACACATTATTTGTTTACTGCTTTGGGTGACAGAGTGATATCTAATTCTGCACTATTCTGTACTGTCTGCGTATTTTGTTTTCACGCATGTGTATGTGGCGTGTAGTACTAACATTAGATTTTAAAAGCTCTTCTGACAAGAGGGACTAAGGTAAAGGTACTCTGTAAAGCAGTGCAATTTTTTGGGTTTTATATAAATGCAAAAAAACATTTTTATAGGACTGGATGCAAAAAAAACATGTTAATGGTAAACAATATAGTCATCATCTGTTTTCCTATGTATTATTATTTTTTAAAAGAAACATTTTCTCAGCTAATAAGATGATATCTTACTTTTCCCCAGGTCTGGTCTATAAGCCACCTGACTATAAAGAAAAAGACGCCAGCATGGCTCCTAAATTCCTTACACCCCTTATAGATCGCTGTGTAGTGGCTGGATACAGCACAGCCTTGAACTGTGCGGTTAGAGGTCATCCAAAGGTAGGCTATTGCCTCTAGTGAAAGTCCACAGCTCTTAGTTAATATGCTCTGACATACCCGCAGGTTTACTTTAAAGGCAAACCCACTTAACACAGATGTACTGTAGATTAGATGTTAATTTTGGTAGCTGTTGTTAAAATACCTAATTGTTTTCTTGGGGTGGTGAGACCACCCCAGGTTCCAGGGTCTGCACAGCTGCCACCATTATTGGATTTGTATATGATGAAAGAAAGTGGGGTGACTCTACTGTGCCACACTCGTAATTATAGATTAAGACCATAATACAGAAAAATGTTTTTTAGGCACCAACACTTGCCATGTGAATTTCCATACATTTTTAATACTCATATCATCGTATAAAAAACACATATTCACATTAAAACATTTGAACGTTGAACTAATAGGTTGAAGACAACCTGATTGATGCAAGTGTAATGGTTTTAGTATCCTGATATAGCCATATGGGTGGCCAATGGAGGTTGTGTTCACCCACAAATGTGAATGTTTTTAATGTGTTAACGTGATTTTATATGATGAACCATGCAAAAGGAAAAGTGGGAACTCCCCACGATCGATGAGAGCACTCAGCAAACAGAAACTGTACCAGACTACAACAGTGCATGTTGACTGTGCAGCTGATATAGCTGTTTCATTGATGTGCTGGTCCATGTAGACAATGTTTTCATTTAAGTTTTTCAGGGAAGAATTAAGCCAGGGGTCCTCAAACTACGGCCCGCGGGCTACATTCGGCCCGCCAGGGTCTTTGGCCTGGCCTGTTCGGGTGTAATGGCCGGGGAGCTGCAGGCCCCTACCTTTACTACCTCCCGGCCGGCCGTTGTAAGAAAGCGGACGGCCAGGAGCTCTCTAGATAAGCTGCTCGCGCAAGCGAGGGAATCCAGTCAATTTAAAAACAGGCAGCGATGCCTGTTAACATACAAACGATCCGCCGGCTATAAAGCCGGCGGATCGCTTGTATGGGCGGTCGGCCCGTGTCCCCCTCCTGTTGTCACGCTGATCCCGGGCTCCGCTAAGCCCGGGACCAGCATAGTGCCTCTGTCACGGGGGATCAGAGGGAGGTCAGTACAAGACCTCCCTTCGGTCCCCTCTCTGCTGTAAGAATGCGGAAGTGATGTATTTTACATTACTTCCGCATTCTTTGTCACTCTCCAGCTTCAGTAGAGGTGTTCAGCTATTCACTTCAGGCTTGTACGGCTGACTTCTGATGAAGATCTCTGCTTCATCAGCTTCTTCGGAGGTCCTAGGTGACATTAGGGGTCTTGTAGACCCCTGATGTCTCCATAAAGAGGACCTGTCACATCTTTTGCTATCACATAGGGGGGTTTCTTAGCCCCCTATGTAATAGCAATAAAGTTAAGTGGAAAAAAAGGACACAAAATTAAAGAATTATGTGCGTTCCCATGTGGGAGGTATGGACAGCATTGAGTCCCTGTTCCCTTGCCTCTGTGTTTTCAAATGCAGAACAATAAGCCTTGGAACATGTGTTCCAGAACAGTAGGATTGTTCTAGAGTCTAGACTACCTGATCACAGGTACAGAGTAATGTGCCTGTAAACAGGTAATCCACATACAACCAGTACAGTACACAATGAGTGTAGTGCAGATTGGTATACTGTGTTGTGTACTGTACAGACACCATTCTGTTCTTGTACACAAGATTAGTGTGTTCTCCATCTGCCTCACTGAGTACTGCTCCTCCCTGTTCTATACTACCCCTTCCCGCCTGTGTCTTACCCACTCCCTGGAAGCTTCACTCCTTCAGCACAGCAGGTAAGTCTGTTAGCACAAGGCTCCTGTGTACATGAAACTCCCCCTGCTTGTGCTGTTCTTTCCCTACCCAGGTAGACGGAGAGCTTACTCCCAGCTTTAACATCAACCCTGTGCTTTCTTCAGACAGCCACAGCAGTTACTTCATTGAATGAGCAGTGCTAGGATTTGTTGTTCCTCACAGCACTGCTCATACACTCATGGTACTGTTGTAGCTGCAGGAGAAAGTGGAGGCGTAATGTTAGTGCTGGGGTCAGGGGTCTCTGCCTGAGTATGAAGCTGACGAATAGAGGCTATGCATCACACACCATCTCTAAATGCATACTTATGACATCATATTGATGGAACTTATTGGGTTGATTTGCTAAAGGCAAATAGGCTGTTCAGTCTGCAAGGAAATTTCCTCTTACTCTCTAAAAAAAACTTTGCACAGAATACCCAATCACATGCAAGGAAAAAAAACAGTTTTTGCTTCCACATGTTTGGATGATGGAAGTCATCAGAACTTTACTTCATTCACTAAACTAAGGAAAAATCGACTTTCAAAGTTAATATTCCCTTGCAAAGTAAACAGCCTATTTGTCTTTAGTAAATCAAATAAGTGCACTTTGCACAATGTTCTTTTACTTTTAAAGCCTATATTGGCTGAATTCAAGAACACTTTGACACGTGTTAAACATTTCATAGTGGTGTTCACAAAGACAAGTCATGATTATAAAAGGAGTTACACAATATGAATATACAGTAATTCTGCATGTCTATTTTTTTATCACTTGATTTTACATAATTGTTTTTTTTAAATTTGTATAACAATATCAACATGTGTTTTCTGTTTCTTATTTTATAGCCTAGAGTGATCTGGATGAAAAATAAAATGGAGATTAGAGATGACCCTAAATTCCTTATGAAACATAGCCAAGGTGTCCTAACACTGAACATCCGAAAACCAAGTCCATTTGATGGAGGAACCTACACCTGCAGGGCCATTAATAATCTGGGAGAAGCTGAAGTAGACTGCAAACTGGAAGTTAAAGGTAGGAGAGGGTGCTTTTTATAATTTGTTAGCGGGGCTGGGCTGCTATATGCTCAGTTTTCCCTTTCCAGCATCCTGAAGGATATTTGTGCATGTTCATTTTCAGTTTTTAAAGTTCAAATTAACCCTCTTGATTTATTACTGTAACACAATACCTATGTGCTGCCAGCACTGGGTGTTTTACCTTTTCTGCAGCAGTTTAGAAAGAGTAACAACAGATTTTATACAGCTAGTCCTCACTTAACGACCTACCTGTTTAGCGACCGATCGCACTTACTCCAAGAGCACGTGCGGGAACGTGGCAACGGCAGTGTGGCATCCCCACGGCTTCATCTTGCATAGAGTACTGTACTCTGTTCTCCGCTAAGTACTGTATTTATAGATTTACAGTACAGTATAAAGTTCCTCGCTTAACGACCAATTCATTTAGTGACCAAGTCGTAGGAACGGAACACGTTCGTCAAGTGAGGAATAGCTGTACTATACTGTATATGCATTACAGTAATACATCATCAGGGTTCAATTGGGCTTCAATTACCAGTACAACACCACTTTATTTTAGTAAGTAAAAATACTTTGCAAGTAAGTAAAAACTACTTAGTAAGTAAAAAAAAAGGAAATATTTCATATTACTGATACTGTAACATACTGGGGTCCAGCCTCTTGCAATGTTCTATTAGATAGGTACAGGACCATTTTCAGTCTGCTATATAATTATTTGAAACCAGAAAAGTATTTGAGTGTGTAGGTGATGGATTGGACCATTCCAATTTACTGTATGTACAGAACAAAAGCAAATAGGAGACTTTCATTATAAGGGCAAATCTTTTTAAGGTTAATCCTCAACCAAACTTTTGTTAACTTTTGATAGAGTGGGAAAGTATGATAGCCTCAGTCAAGTTCTTATTGCTGTAGGTGTGGAGATTTTTCTCCAATTAGTATCCCAAAGACATGGCAGGTAGTGAATGGGTAGTGGGTAGAATACTTTGCAGCATGAGTGCAAATGTGAAGAGAAATGCCACATTTAACAGTCACTTTCTGCACTGATGGTTGTGATTCTCAGCGGGGGCACAGACAGAAATAAAAATCTGATGATGGCTCATGTTTATATTACTACTACTCTATCCAAAACTAGAAAAAAATATGAAGCTCTGTTTTAAGAATTAAAGCATTTCTTTGTTTATTTTGTTCCCTTATAAACAGTGTTGCTTGAATATGCTTCTGTTTGATTCGTGGGCAGTTCAGTGGAACAGGACAAATGTTCAGTATTTGGAAGACCTTGAATCCAAACCCCATTGAAATAAAACAGGAAAACATTCTGGTGTTTTTTTCAGGCCTCTAGAGAGCCCAGCACATGTCTAAAGGAACATGTTGCTTGTTTAAAAAAAAATAGGACCCACATAAGATGACACTTTAAAAGTCTGCTCTTTATTCGGTAGTGAAATATCTAAACACTCTGATTTTGTGGCATTCATCTTAAAGTTGCTCAGGCGCCCAAATTGTTGCAGCTCCTTCAATAGTGCGGGAAAGGCTATCCTTGGATTGGAGATATAGAGAAGTGTATCGTCTGCAAACAAACTCACTTTATAGCACTTATCTCCTACCTCTATGCCCCTAATATCTTCATTCATGCGCAAAGCCTTAGCCTGATGTTCCATTGCTAGTACATATAGGAATGGAGACAGCGGACATCCCTGCCTCGTCCCATTTGTAATTTGCACTGATTCTGATAGATATCCATTAACCTGTATTCTTGCAGTAGGGCAGGAGTAAAGTGCTAAGATCTTTGCTATAAAGGAAAAAGGCATCCTAGTCTGCTTCAATGTTGCCTCAAGAAATCTCCAATCCAAGCAATCAAACGCCTTCTCCGCATCTATCGAGAGCAAACAAAGTGGAATCTTTCGTGTTTGGGCCAAGTGAATCAAAGAGTGTCTTTATTGTATTATCTCGTCCCTCCCTACCTGGGACACAGCCTACCTGGTCCAAATGGATAAGAGATGGAATATGTAATTGGAGACGTAATGCTAATATCTTAGCATATATTTTTAAATCCACATTTATTAAGGATATTGGCCTATAGCTTGCACACTGGGTCGGGTCTTTCTGTCCTTTAGGTATGAGTACTATATGTGCCTCTTGTGTTTGTCTTGTAAAAGAACACCCCTCTGAGATAGCATTATAAACTGAACTAAGAATTGGGGCCAACTCCTTTCTAAATTCTTTATAGAATGCCCCTCCATACCCATCCGGACCAGGGCTCTTTCCAGAGGGCAAGGACGCAATCGCATTCTCTATTTCTTCCAAAGTAAATGGGGAACAAAGGGATTCTACCGCGTTAGTATCTAATTCTGGTAATGCCGTATTATTTATATATTCTTGAAGTTGTTTATATCCTGTACTATTATCCCTTCCCAAAATCCATAAGAATATCACTCGACCCCCTGGGCAACCCATTATCGCCAGTACTGATAGCCTCACGAGTGGACTATCATTGTATATTGATCACTTCCTGCAACCCTTGGTAACCAACCTACCCTCATACATCAAAGACTCTGGTCATCTGATACAGATTCTTTCGAAATACCAATGGCACCCCTCATACACCTGGCTGTCCCTTGACGTCACCTCATTATACACCTCCATACCTCATGACGTAGGGCTCAATGCACTACAATACTATCTATCCACTCATTCCTCTATACACCATAAACAGGCACAATTCATTGTGGATTGCACCAAATTCACACTGGAACACAATTACTTTGCATTCATGGAAAATTTCTACCGACAGATCAAAGGCACAGCGATGGGTGCAAATTATGCCCCCAGCTATGCGAATCTCACTATGGGCTTTTGGGAAGACCACTCCATATGGGCTAACAACCCCTTCGCGCCCCACCTTATCTTCTATGGACGCTATACTGATGATATTGTGATCATCTGGGACAGCCCCATTGAGTCCATAACATCATTTGTGTAACGCCATTATCACCTGCAATCACACAAAACCCACCAGCGGCAACTAGTATGTACATTTTAACAGTTGAAAAAGATTTTGAGTGTGCAGCGCTATTAAAGTGAA